GTCTTTAGATAAGCTAACTTACTGAGGTTGAATTATGGGGATACAATTCGCTTTATGCACTACTAATCAACTATATATTCAGCCTGGTGTTAATCAGCTTCGTACACCTTAAATCAACCTATAATCAGCTTCTGTTCTTACAATTCAGCTTGTACTGTTACCTGGGCAGCTTGAATTGTTACTTGGGAAGCTACGATAAAATGGTACCCCATATCTCCTACAAAGACGTAGTATCAGGTCAAAAAATCAAAAATAGTGAACAAGAAAAGTTTTTCTTATTTTAATTTTTTGTACTTTTTTTGGATTTCTGTTTGTCTTAGTAATGTTTTCGTGCTACGTTTTATTGAAAAATGTCGAAAACGCCATATATAAAAAAAATGCTTACTTAAAAATGCATAGTTAAACATGGCCTAATGTAAGCACAAGTGTGAAGGAGTATCGATAACAAACAATTATGCAAAGTTTCATACAATTCAGAGAAGGTCTAGTAAAAAAAAATCAATTTGGCCTGGAACTTCTCAATAGATAGCGTCTTCTGCAAAGTTACTTCTCATAATATGTTTTACAACTTTCCTGAACATGAGTAAGAGCATGAGCATTGACGAACATTCATTTCGTAGTTGCTACCAGATCCACCGAAATTTGCACAAAGAATTATATTAATGGGGCTTGGGATTATCAATCGATGGTCAGTGTGCAAAATCCAGTGTATCAATACTTTAATGGTCAATAACGGCGCCGGCCACGCCCTAACGGTCATTGGGTAGGAAAAGAATTCTTTCACGGTAGTCAGGACGTTTTTGTTAGTGGGAAGTACGATAGCAAAAATGGTCGCTTTAAGGCTACCGTATATCACAACAAGCTACGGCCGACGATTGTTCAATTGCATTTGTGAGATTATAACTTTTCACTAGCGGCATTTGGAAAAAATGCAGACTCCACAAGATCCTTAAAGGTATATCCCCGAGCAAAGTCTGAGATCAAATTGAAATCTAAATTTGATGTTGTGATTTCGCTCAGGTTGTTGTCGTTTTGGTCGTTTTAACGGTTAAAATATCAAAATTGAGAGCAAACATATCTTCCTGTGACATCACATTGAAAACTATTTCTGCTATCAGTGAGAGCAAACTGAAAACCAAATTTGCTATCCATTTTTCCTGTTGATAACAAAACAAGTATTCAATTTGATGTTATGCTAAGGCAATGAAAACAAACCCGTAACAACATATTTTTAAAGAGCAAATGTACAGCAAAACGAAAACAAAATTTGGTATCAAATTTGTCAATGTGTAAACTGAAATCAAATTATGATTTCAGTTTAATGTTGATATCAAAACTTGATTTCAATTTGTTGTCAGTTTGATGCTGGACTTTGCTCGGGTCACCAATGTGGCAAAAAAGACCCGATCTAGTCTTTGGAGGCGAACCAGCCTCAGGTTGAAAGCCTCCTAAATAAAGACAAATCAATAAATCCGATCTAGTCTAACCACAACATTTCATTTATGAAACAAAGTTGTCAGAATCAGAAACACCTGTTTAAGATTTCAATATTACTGCCCCTGCGATTTTGATACCGATTTTTTTTTTCGAACCAATCCACCCAATTTGTTGTGGAAAAGTTTTTCTACCTCACTGAGACAAAACATAACATCATGCTGGAGAAGCCAAACATCATAAACTAAAAAAAATGCTTTCCCAACCAAGGTTATCACTGCTTTGTTTCATCCCATTGTTTCAGCCCAGGAGGCCCTTTGTTGCGACAAATCGCTCATAAATATTTATGTTTATGGCAAACATGATCTCCATGCATATACACACAGACGCACAGCAGTGAAGGGATAAAAAAAATAACGTCGCTAACGGTTTTCCGGTACAGATCCCCTTGAACACATGTGTGACAAAGGTACAGGTGGCTAATCCATTACATGACTCTATAATCCGCCGATGCCGCAGCACATATTTATGTGTTGGTTTCCGGATGGCGGAACTCTTGCTACGGAATGGAATAAAGGCACTTTTTTGCGTCGATGGCATCGTTACTTTTTTGTTTTCATTTGTTTTTGTCCGTTTTATGGTAGCTTCACATAGTCATATGTGTACAAGCGGTTGTCCGAAGTTTCTCTGTGTAATACAAATAAGTAGTCGATTAGCGTTTGTATTAGGATTGTGAAACTGGCTCCGTTACTTTTCTGAGTGGACAATTCCACAAAAACCATCGCTCTTTAAAAAAAAATATTTAACAAGGCTGGGGTAGAACATTTTATTATATCGCTTCTTATATGAAAATTCGTGAAATTCCTAGTTAATACCTTCTGTAAATAACGTACATCCCCCGTGGCTGATTCAGCGTCGTCTCGTGCGTCGGTAACCAATAGCAGTATCTTCTACAATGACGATAGAAACGACCGCGCCGTAGCGATGCAGCCATGTTCTCAACACCCCCTAAATCTTGCGGATTGCCATATTTTTTTCACTCTCGTGCCTTATTTCTGTTGATTCTGTCTGAATTTGTGCTGTGTGTGAATATGCAAAAGTATTTTCCGAAGAATAAGCATTCGCAGCATGCCGTCTTTCCCCTAAAGAATCTCAGTCCATCTGAATGCCAGAAGAATGGTTAAGCTTAAAAAAATGCTTTATTGATTTTCGTTCTATTCTTAGCAAGTCTGTTGGTTCCATTGCATACGGAAGAAATTTTCATACACACGAGAATGAGACTCACCCCCGAAAAAGATCAAGCTGGCTTTAGTAGGTACACACTGTCATCCCTAGATCGAACTAAGAAGACCAAAGCGTACGTTGTTGCTTGGTAAGCAATTGGGGGATTTTGTTGGTCGCTTTCTCTTTCATTTTGCTCACCGTCTGCTCGTTTATAGCTAGAGCCAACTTGAAGCGCTAAATTCCACGACCGCCTGGCTCGAAGCCTCGCAGGAAGACGACGGAATAGGATGGTCTACGGACCATCTGGAGCCGGAAACATATGACTTTGTTGGACTTTGTGGTAATGGTCCTCCCGAAGTGAAGCCAAATTTAGCACGGACGTAAATTATGCACCTTACCGTGCACCGATGAAAATACTAATAGGGCTGGAGTGTATAAAACGCCCCAACGCACAGTGGGATCCGGGACAAAACCTCTAAGAATCATGTTTTTATTTTTGTTATTTAATATTTTTTTATACATTGAATAACCTTTTTCTAAAAATTTCGTGATTATTGGATGAGATTTCGATTTTTGGCAACACTTTGAACGTTGCTCAGTTAGCAGTTAGCGGATTTTGATGATTTGCATGTTCAAAAAACATAAATTTAAGGCTCACCTAAAATACCTGTTAGGTACATATTCAATTGATCAATTTAGATTGTCAATATTTGAACCCACCACTGTATATGGACGATTAAATTCAAAATACTGTGGTAGCCACAGCATAGTTCTATCAAAACCTCAGCATTTTCATTGATCCACTTTGACACAATTTGATCACAACAGGTTTTATTGAAGTAAAAAGCAATTATGCATAAGTAAATAAACTTGTCTAGGTTACTCTAAACTATAAAAAATATGTATGGTATATCAGTGCCAACATTTCAAAGGGGCGTAATTGCATTTGTAAATAATGGGTTTTACCGTCGATTTCTCGCGATTAAAAGCTCACTAATGAAAATTAATGAGACCAGCAGGTAGAAGAATGTTTCCTCTACCAGCTAGCATTGTTGTAGTATTTGGAGGAGTGAGCTTTTATTTGCTAGAAATCGACGGTTAAACCCATTGTTTACAAAAGCAATTACAGGTACTTTACTACAATTACTTTTGACTTCCATCGCCGATTTCTTGCAAACGATCATTCAAACAACCAAAGTAATAACACCATCGGACAGATGAAATAATTCCCCATCTATTAAACAAACTCAGAAAAATTCATGTAAATTTAGGTGCTCTGAGACTGACATAAACGAGCGTCAATTTTGACAATAAAATTGAGTCATAATAGACGCAACATTCAGCTCAATCAAACGTAATTTTCGTCGAGTAACGAACTTTCAAGTCTCGGAGCACTTAATTTTACATGACATTTTTGTTTACGTCTCATCCTTTATGTCAAAGATGGATTCCGTCACGTGTAAAATTAGGTATTTCTAAGTGTGTAGTGACAACTTTTTGTGAGCCTCCCTTAGCTCAGTCGGTAAAGGCGCAGCTACAAAGCAAGACTATGCTGGAGGCTGCTGGTGATTCCTGGTCTAGGATGTCCTTTATTAATATTATGATATGTTGCCGATAGGCGTAATTCTACGTCTAAAAACTCAAAGTACCAAAACTCATAAGAACAATATTATTCGGAACAACTGCTCATGCTATATGAAGGAAACAATTCCTAGAAATTATAAATGAAAAAAATCAAATGCATACCTGGAATGAAAAAATCAGAAGAACAATATCCCACGCAATAACTGCTTATGTTCAAAAGAAGGGAAAAATTCCTAGAAATGATGTACGAAAACAAATCCAAGCGACGAAAATCAAAAGATCAGTATCCTTCAAAAGTACTGCTTACTTTTTGGGATTAAAACTTCGGCCTAATGACCTGACACTTGAAATAAGAGATATATATTTTTTAATATAATTTAGAAGTTTACAAAAGTTTCAAATCTCTGAAGCTATAAACATATTTTAAAATTCGCGAAATTTGATTTGATACTGAATATTTGCATTGGAAAATTACGGATGAGAAGTATACAAGTGGATTCTGTGATAAGAAATAATGTAAAACGGTTAAAATATACTTGTACATTTTGGTTGAACTCCTTATATCAAGTTTTAATGACACCCCTTTCTCTGAGTTAAAAAGTACAAGAAATGTAAATTATTCTTTTGTGGGATGAAATCAAATTCATTTATCCTCTACGAAAAACTTTGGTTTTCAACTGACGACGATACGAGGTACCAATCTAGGTATTAAAAATTAAAATGCAAAAAAACGATCGACTGACACACTTTCTGCTTACCTTCAAAACTTTTCCCTCCAAAACGTGTTGCTGCTGTCATCATCCGGAAATACTCCTCATCCATGTCGAGCTCTTCCTTGACCGGTTTGAATGCCTCTGCACCTGAACTTATCCGGGATCCAAAGGAATCACCATCGTTGACACCCCCTTCGGTGTCACTGCAGCTGTCGTGAAGATAATTGTTCGATCCTGCAATGGAAGTACGGAAACAAACACTAGGTGAAAAAAAAAATCCGACTCATTCCCTATCACCATATAATCGTCTGTCAGAGAAGAAGAAAAGTCCCAATCAATAATGGCGTCAGTCACCCGACCCGCAACTTCTGCTTCGAGAGGGTAAAGTTTTCGCATTGAAATCACGCACACGCGCTCGTGATCCGTTTCAATCGCCATCGCATCCTGTCGCCTAACTTTTCCGACTTTTCCAAGTACCTTCCCATATAGGTTTTCCTAAGCGAAGGGACCGTGAAGAAAGAAAAAGTAGCATACCAGTCCTGCCATTCACAATGCGAACACGTCATGCCGTTCGTTGTGGGTGTAGACTGTAGGAGAGCGAGTGAGACAGATTCAAGTCATTGCCGTCAGCAAAGTGGATGTCGTCTGGCACGGTTTTTCTCCCCTACTTGGCAGTATAATTTTTCATTTCGGCCATTTCAACCCATGACAAAGCCCCAAAGCGAAATGAGTCCTTTTTTCCTAAATGATGAACGGGGGAAGCTATGGTAACGCAGTCAAACTGAGCGTGGCTGAATGGCGTACCTATGCTCACACAATTGGGCATTGTTTCAACATATTTCACAAGCTTTTGACTTTTATGAAACTTTATGAACCTATCCCCTTCAGCTATGGGAATGTGTCGCTCCAATCCCACTAGTACTTTAACCGAGTTTTTCACGCTTATCACCACATACTGTCACCCGAAACGATTGGTGAACGGTTTGGCAGAAATGACTAAGGTGCTACGTGACTTCCTGGTCGACATGTAATTGCGGTTTTCTGTTTTGTTTGCCTGATACCGTTTTGATATAGGATATCATCTTAGCACAGTTATAAACTTCATAAGTAAAATATATCGTGTTATTTTTTTGTCCTCTTGTAAAAAATTATATTGATTTTAACTTGATTTGACAAGAACTATATTTTAAGTAGAAATGTTCTACGTAAAATGTAATCCTAAGAAGGCTTGCCTCTGTTCCCTAGGCTGAGGATTGTTTTGAAGTATTCGTTGTTTTGGAAATCATCATAATCATCTTTGTCAAACACCTCTCTTTGGTTTCCGAAATGGTTAGAAAAAATAACTCACTACAAGACACAAACACTGAGTCCTTTGGTGCTGAGTACTATTGATTGTGACTTCATAGTAAGCACTGAATATTGTGGATAAAGCCGTGTTAGAATTAGCGGAGGTAAATTGAAGTTGATTTAAGGTATAAGGCCTGTACTTGAAAAAAAAATGCACCAGACAAAAGTGTTCGCCAAAAATTTATTTTAAGTCGGATTTCCTTGAAACTTTCAGAGAATGAACTAATACATATGGATTATGTTTCAGCATAATTACTTTATTCAATTTCCTTTCCATCGTTGAAAGCCCGCACCTTTCCCTTAAGACCCCTCATTACATTTTGTGCAATGGTGGAGCCGACCTTTTTGGTCACTTTCATGCATTCTTTCTTCAACTCCAGCTCGTTCTTAAACACCTTGGACGATTTTCGAACTTTGGCCTTCATTATGGCCCAAAATCTTTCCACCGGACGAATCTCTGGTGAATTTGGGGAGTTGGCGGTTTTTGGTACAAAAACAACGTTATTGTCTCTGTACCAATCCAACGTCGATCACGCGTAATGGTATGATGCCAGGTCCGGCCAAAATAATGTCTCGCCTCCGTGGGACGACAGGAAGGGCAAAAGACGCTTCTGGAGGCACTCGGTGCGGTAAATTTCGCTGTTGATAATACCCATTGTGATGTACGGTTTACTCAGTTTACCGCATTGGCATATGGCCTGCCAGAGTAGTATGTTTTGGCAAATTTATTCAATTTCTTCTTCTTTATGTCTTCCGGAACATCAAACCGTGATTTGGCAACGTAGAACTCCAGCCCCGGTATCTGCTTTGCGTCTGCCTTGATGTAGGTTTCGTCATCCATAACCACACACATCGGTTTCGTTAACCACTCTCGATACAGCTTCCTTGCGCGGGATTTGGCCGCCGTGTTTTGTTGATCACGCTGGTGCCTTCCGGACCTTGAATACACGAAGCCCAGCTCGTTTTATGGTTTGCTGAACGAACCAGGCGGAAGACATTGCCTTCAGAGCCGCGTCGCGAATCGAAAGGTTCGGATTACGCTTGAAATAATCCAACACCTTCCGGGCCTTCACAGGGTCAGTTGTCTTCGATTTTCTTCCACTTCCAGCCCGCCGCTCGGTCGTCTGAGACTTCTTAAATGATTTTACCACCCGAGACACAGTTGTATGGGTGATTCCAGTTGTCTTCCGATCCATCTCATGGTCGCAGTCGAATTTTCCATGACGGCGCGCAAACTTCTCCGGCGATTTTCTTCTTGTTTCGATGACATCTCAATAACCACTGAATCGATTGTTATGAAATTTTGCACATGTAAACAATTCACTCCAAACTAGTTATACCCAGATTTTCATCAATTTTTACCCACGGATAAAAAAGTTACACACGGATAAAAATGGTGCATTTTTTTCGAGTACAAGCCTTAGGACTGGTGCTTATGATTCCATCAGGAGATCCGAAATATCCGTTGGCCAATTAATGAAATTATTTTTTTTAATTAACCAAAGTACTAGCATTAGGGTGTCCCAAAATTGCACTATGCCTGGAAATCTGGGGACTCACCCTCTAAATGATAGCTAAGGGTGTTACAAACAAACTTTTGTAAGGTGGCAACTCTGGAGAATGTTGTTTAAAGGTCGCCTCGACGAGATTGTGAAAAAGTCCATTTTTCATAGCTTTTATCCAATAAATATTTTTAGTTCTTTAAATTTCAGTGAAAACTCACCCTTCTATATTTTTCACAGATTTCCAAGGGTCAAAACTAAAAGAAAAAGAAAAATTGCTACGGCATGTTCTGTGTCCAAATTGTTAGTTACAATTTTTCAAATTCTCTAAAATGATGTTGTTTTTTGTACATCACTGCATTCAATCATCAAAAGTGGGTATCAAACATAGCGCTATTATCAATCAAAAAGTTATTCGTGATTTACTGGGGAAAGAAAAGTTCCGAATTTCAATACTTGCAGTATGTCCACCAGCAAATCAAACTATCATTGAAATAGTTCAATGCAAATCACCTGCTTTGTTGCAAATCACTTGATAACATTTGTTTCGACGTTTCTAGAATTCAATAGGAGGATATATAAGCGGAGAGGGATCGCAAAATTTATTAGTTTCCATTTGATTGCCGTAGCCAGCAGAACCAAAAAAGAAAATCATGTCACCAACAACCAAGCTCAAGTCGGATCTCATCACCGATATTGCATGCATAGCGTAGATTACTATTAGATTAATAAAATGTTAGAATTGATCAAATGTTACCCTCCCAAATTCCATGAAACTTTGCATAATTGTTCGCTACACACTTAATTCAGATCACCGAAGTCGGTAGGAATTTACCGGGTTTTTGAACAGCAGAACAACTCGGTAAAATTTTCAAATGACCGTTACACGTAAGAAATCAAGAAAATTTATAAATTTTATTTTTCATCAATAAATGGGGTAAACTGAACAATAACAACTTCTGTACAAGTTCGGGATAATTTTTTTAATAATTGGATTTTTCACTGATTTTTAAACTTTTACCGAACAGTTCTGTAGTTCAAAATTTACCGAACGACGGAGGCCTGGATTAGTGTGTATGGACAATAAACCAACAATTTTCAAAATGGCATGTGCGATTTTTTTCAATAAATCATAGCACGAAAATGTTACTTCTAATCGAAATGATTCTTTATTTTCGGTAAAAAAAAAAGCCGAAAAGTGATAAAAAATAAATAACACAAGAAGTTCACTGTCAAATATTTTTCATTGAAAGGTTTACGAAAAATCTAACTTTTATGAAATTTTGATTATGAACACATTATGGCATGGTCTTGCTTTATACAGTCAACACTCCACAACTCGATGTCCACTAACTCGATATCGAGTTATAGAACCATAGTAAACGAATTACATGGCTACTATAATAGCCATGCTGTATAGGATAGTTATTCTATAGCTTGATAATTCTATAACTCGATGGTCCCTTAAATATCGAGCTGTAGAGAGGTCACTGTAGCTGCTTCTTTACCGGCTGAAGTAAAAAAGGCCCCTTTTCTGTTTGTTATGGGTAATCTTTCACATTTTTCCTAAAATTAGGCTCTTTGAATTCGCAAAAATAAAATCAAAATGGCTTTTACGATATTTTTTCAATAAATCGTAGCACTCTGACTTCTTATCAAAATGGTGTCTACTAAATCCTTACTAGAAAACAATATACCTGGTTAAGAATATTAGTTATTTTTGGTAAAACATAAAAAATTTAAAAACTTTTTTTTGTTTGTTAATTTATTTGATAAGGCTCAACCGAATTAACTTTACAGAGCCGAGGATTCTTGGTCACTATACAATACATCTCAAAACTATAGTCAAAAGGTACAACACAATAAATACTTTATCTTCCGCTATCCAAAAAGCCTCCTCCATCAGAACTGGAGCCGCTTCCAGTAGTTTCATTGTATGGCAAATTGTTGTACGCCAACGAGGGTCAGAGCGCGTCCATTGCAGCAGTGGACGCAAAACGTGGTCAGCACTCACATACTCATCACGAAACGGTTGCTTTCCAAAGTCGACGACGTATCGACCGAAAGAACTGCTGATGAAGAACAATGAGGAGGACCACACAATGGTTGCTGCCGAGAAAACAGATGATCGCGTAGCACACATCGAGAGTGGCCTGATTTGTCGACAGCCGAGTGAACACTGAAAATTTAAAAACTTAAACAACAAGAAAATATCCTTTCTCAATAAAGTTTTAATGTGTTTAATTAAAAAGCTTATGTTGAATGCTAACTTTTAGAAAATTTTATAGTTGGACAATTCAAATTTTGAAAAAAAAAATAGATAACAACAACTTTTGGTGAATAGTGATTTTTTAAATACATTTTATTGTAATTTTTGTTCAGAAG